GGTATTTTGTGAGCAGTTTCAGTGGCATAGATGTAATGCCCTCTGTAATATCCTGTCAGTCCTCAGTAGTAATTGCTACTGAATGTTGTCAAGTACAAAGCATAGGTTTTGGCTCCTCCTGGTGCTATTTCTCCAGCTATTTACTGACTTGATACTGCAGCTTTTAATTAATTTAGTCCAATTAAAATCAGGCTCTACTATGCCAGGCTTCAGTTCTTGCCTCTCCCAGGGTTTGCATTGAGAGGGAATGAATGTATTATCCTTTGATCAGAGCAAGGGAGAATTTCTCAATGTATTTTGCATTTTTGCAAGAGTCTGTAGCTGAAGCTTTTAAAAAGTTGAGTAATATGAAACCCTTAGTGTCCTATGGGTATTTTTTTTCCTCCAAGTTTTCTCCGAGGCTGTGTGGCAATGGAAGTGATCCATAGTTGAAACTGAACTTCTGTACTTGTAACATGCCAGCAGCTTAGTCATTACTTTGGCCTTAGCATAACCCTACGGAAGATTTCCCTGTGGGAGGCTAAGTCATGCCTGCTTTGGAGCATGGCTTTAGAACTCCTACCAAGTTGAGCTGTTAGGATACATAAGGCAAGCAACTGTGCAGAATGCCTGCTGTTTTTCAGGTCAGAGTTTCTGGCTGACTTCTTTGGAAGTTTCCCAAAAGTTGAAAAATTACCCAGTTAAAAGAGTTTTGATTTCTGTTTCACTTTTGGTCCAACAGTGTCTCAGTTTGATTCTACATTAGAAAGCCCAGTTTATGCACTGGCTATATATTATTGATTTTTTTCAGTTTTCGAGAATTTTATAGTGGAGAACCAGGACAAATAAGAGAGCAGCAGGTGGATTTTGCTTTGTTTGGTACATAGTTGTGGCAATATCTTGACGTGAAAGCCATTTGTTTATTGGCAACAATAAGACAGCTGAAAAGCAGCTTTGTAGTTAATGCCGATTCCATATCAATTGAATGATTCTCTTTTTAACACTTAAGTTCTTATGTTCTTTAAAATACTTCCTTATCTTTTTTTGAAAATACCTTTGCTTCACATCTTCTGTGTTGCGGGAAAAGGAGTGGGGGCAAACCAAATCAAATCAGTGTGGCAAGTGCCCCAACAGAGGAGGAAGGAAGGGGCGAGAGAGCTTTAGAAAACAGGGAAGCAGACGAGAGTACAGAGCTTGAATTACTAAATGCTGTACATGGATTGCTTTTTCTTGCAGCGACTATATTTTTGCTATAGTATTCAATAAGCAAGTTTTTAAAACCAACATTTATAAAATGGCCCTGTGTTTAAGCAGGGTGGATTGATTTAACTCATGATTTAAATAATGATTTTAATCAACTTTTTTCATCTATTTAAGTTTCTAAAGAAAAATATTCTTATTAATTGATGAACTGTTAAAGCATGTTGATTTACAACTAAATAGTCTTTCCCTACATTTGGTACATTTTTTTCTACCAGAGAAGATCTGTTCTATTTACACTTCTTATTAAAGGAATTTTCTAGCTTAATACTTTCAGATTCTCATTCATTTTACTTCTTATTATGCTAGAAGGTAGTAAATGATATATTGCTTATTTACTAGATAATTGTTTTGGTCATCATTTGTATTCAACATCTGTGATGATTTTGCCGGAACTTTTGACTCAGCCCTTCAAGCAGTAATTGACCTGCTGTGCTATATTTATAAAGTTTTGGCTCAAAAGTTAGAATCAAAGATAAAACATATTTTTCTTTCTATAGATAAGCATGCAGCCTGTAAATCAGTAAGGTAGAAGTTCATAAATTGAGAACATCCTTTTTTTGTTTAAATATTTTAATAGACAATAGGTCTTAACATGTTTTGTATTCAGCTATCAGTTTAAATAGGTTCCTATTTAAAAGGGGAAAAAACTCCTTATTGAAATAAGATTCAATATATTTTAATTAAAAATCTATTTTCTATTAATTTGAAAAAAAACAAACCTACTTATTTGTATTAACCCAGTGTTTGACATGTAGTCTTTTGCAGTGTCTCAGTTTAGGCAGCTGTGATACCTGTCTTTAGCTTTCCCCCCCAAGCACCAGAGGTGGGACAGCACTGCCAGGCCAGTTTGACAAGTTTAACTCCCTAATTTTAAAGAAACAACTTATGTGGGACAGTGATATTAAATAAGGCCATATATAACTTTCATGGATTTAAATATGATTCACCAAGGAAAAACCAGCACAAAATAAGTGCAGCACAAAATTGTACAGCTACATACTGCCAGAGGTAAACCTTTTGTGCATTTGAAAGTGATAGTTTTAATGCCTGTAGTGTTGCGGAAAAGGCTAAACCCATGTTTGTCTACATCTCCTTAACTAATGCTAATTTTTTTTCCTTTTATTTCTAGTATACTTGAAATAACAAAGCTTGTTTGTTTTTGTACACTAGTAATATTGATAACATGAGTCATACCAATAAAAATGAAGCTTTATTTAAATGTTGATAAATTGTTTGTTGCTGTAGAACCAATGGAGAGCATATACAGTGCTGCTTGGTGGTTAGTTGTCTGTGGAGCAAAATGAAGTAAGTTCACAACTGGGTTGTGGATAATTTAGGTAGTGTATCAGACCAGAAAGTGTCCTTACATATTACGTTAGCGGCATTGCTGTGGCTGTCCTCCCTTCACTTCCCCTCCTGTGTACAGGAGGGATGGAGCAGCTTCTCCCTGTGTCTTTTCCAGACTAGGGTCACTTCTGGAAGGCACAGGAGCCTTTCCCCAAGGTCCATTTCTCCTGGGGACAAGCTAAGCCACAGGAAAGTGTGCAGATGTTCAGTCTCCTGAGAGAAACTCTTTTGGTTCTACTGGCAGTACATCTGTACATGGCTTAGGTAGAAGAGGATTGGACTTTCTTGTATGTTTAGTTTATCATCCAAGATAAGGCCTTCGGTGAAATTCCAGATTTTTCTAAGAAGCATTGTCAAAAATTAATAGAATCTGTTTGAGGTTAGATCAGAACGAAGGTGTAACAGCAGTGGAAATAGCCTTTCATGTTTATATCTTTGTAAACAAATATATCAAAATAGCTTCATCAAAACAAATCAAGATGAGGCTGTTACTCTTGACTTGGACCTCAAAGACAGGTCATCAGTTCCTGTGATTGGAATTTATTTAATATGATGAATTTATGACAGTGGATACAAAGTTTCTTTCCATTCTTTTATTTGTTCTGTGTGCATGGATAAAGGTAATTGTTTGTATCATTTAGGCTTTGCAGAAACTTTTTAAAGGAAGCAGGACTTTGTCCAGCAGATAATTATTTTATAAGTTAATGTTGAAATTGTAAATGCATAACAATAGTTTAAAGAGGCAGGAAATTATACATGTGGGGGGTTTTTTGTTTGTTTTTAAACAACCGCAATCTACATCAGTTACAAATTGATGAATTATGAATGATAGATTCAAGAATGGTCTTGGAGGCATATGCAGAGTGGTCATGGTGGTGTGCTTGTTTTTGTCTAGTATGTGCAGTCATGGGAAAAGTTTATGAAAAATGTAACTAGTAAAAGTTAAAAGTTAGCGCCCTTTAAAATTAACTTTGAGTTAAGTTAAAAGTTAAATATTTCTACTTTCAACTAGTTAAAAGGTAAGTTAAAAAGAGAGTAACTACTTAAAAGTTAAGTTGATTTATGAGAAATGTGTGAAACACAGTGAATTGCCTCTTAGCATCATTTTTCATTTTCAAATGCAGTGAGTGGGTTTCTTTTCCATAAGCCCACAGAATCACACTAATTTACTTGGAACTCACCCTGTTTTACCTGAAAACAATGTTATACTTGCCATACAGTTTTCAGAATAACAATTTACCAATACCTGTGTAATGTTAGAGCCTTCTCATCTCCATATGAAGTACTGTCTAAAAGTAAATGCATCATAAAAGTATACCAGAATAACAGAAAGGAGATATTCATAGCCAGGTGACAAATTAAAGTGATTTCCACAGAAAACCTCTTTTGTTACAAATTTTATTGCTCAAAAGGTAACAAAAGGATATGAAATACATCTGAATTAGAAATAATGAAAGTGTCTGAAAATCAAAATTAGACTGAAATGAGAAAATCAGTTTAAATGAGAAGAAGAATGTTCAGTTGCATAGCAGAAACCATGTAAACATGCTTATTGAACTTCAGCAAAAGTTGCATTTCAGAATTTACAATTTTCCTCTTCTGTCTTGCAAAACTAAGCTTCCACTACTGAACAATTGCGCTACATGGGCAGATGAGGGAATCCTTGTGTTACAATGGATGAATATTTTTTTCATAGTAGGTGACATCTCTGATAAGTTTCTCGCAGATGAGAAGTAATGCTCAACTTCTTGGGTCCTGGGCTGCTGGTTCTGATCTTCATTAAAATTAAAGTCATCTTCTGCTTGACCCTCACTACTTGCTCCCACTCTTATTGGGACCAGTGTCTCTGCTTGCTTGTGTGTGTTCTCTCTCCTGTAGCCAGCTGGCTGCCTTGTTGACTTCTGCAAATGCAGGGAAAATGCCAGCATGAACTAAGGAACTCTGGGACTTGTTCTTAAGAGACCATATCTCATAGGAAGGTACACTACTCTCTCTCTCTCAAAACAAGAAGTCCTAGAGTTTCAATAAAGAAATATCATTCCATGTAAGTCCTAGAGAGTGGCTGTCAGGAAAAACTCTGGGAAAGCTGGATTTCAATTTTTTAAACTTTTAACTTATACTTTAAAAAAAAAGTTAAAGTTAACCTTTTTAACTAGTTAAAGTTAAAAGTTAGCCATTTCTTTAACTTTTTAACTAGTTAATTAACTAGTTAATTCCCATGACTGTGTGCAGTATAGTACAAGAAAAATACGTGACACTTAAACATAGTATTTTTGTGTTATGGTGGAGCAGTAACAATACTATAGCTAAAGTTGCCTTAGAGTTTTTTTTTGTAGCTGTGTAACAACTGTACAACAGAACTTAATGTGGACTTCAAAATTGGTTTGTCAAGTTTCCTTTCTTTCTTTCAGGTCCCTTAATATGGACTTCGAGAATCAAGACAAGGAAAAAGACAGTAGCAGCTCAGCTGGGTCTTTCAATGGCAACAGCACCAATAACAGTAAGGACTTCTTTTTTTCTTTTCTTTCTTCCCTTATTCAGTCCAGTCTGGCCTACAGTGTACTGAACGGTAGAAGTTGTGGTGCTGTTAGGAAATCTGTGCCCACAGTTTTTTTTTAACATTCTTGCATCATTTCTATAGGTTCACAAGTTACTTGCTTTGCAGTTGGACTATGTATTATGGGAAGTGGAAGACTACCCTGCTTTGTCCTTTTGAACAATTACTGTGCATCTGGGAAAGTGAAGAAGGAATTTTGGGGTTGTTGGTTAAGCACACTAACATGTTGTTTTTCTGTCAAAATGATTAGGAATGAAGTTAACAATTTTGATATCATTTTTGTAGATACTAATTTTCTTAAAAATCATGTCAAGGGGGCTACAGCATATACTTCTATTTTGGTGTGGGAAACTGAGGCACATGCAATTTAATAGCCTTGCCCAAAGCAAAAGCAAATGTATCAAAGCCACAGTCAGAACTTAGATATTCCTATATCCCAAACTTCTTGCCATGTTTGTATTGTTTCTGTGCCATTTTATACCATACAAGGTAGCTTCTAGGTTTAAAGAAATTGGTTTTGTTAATTTTGTAAAAATTTGATTACGTGTCCTTGAGGAGGGGAAAATTATATTCATGGAATATGAGGAATATAGCCTCTTTGCCCATGAAACTGAAATTTAGTCATGGTTCAGTAATTTGAGGGTTTTGGGGAGCATGAAAATGTAAGCTAATCTGTGCAAGTTATCCATTTATTCAAACGTGAAAACATATTCCTGCACCTCGCAAGCTATATGTGCATCTTAAAACTTCATTCTTAATATCTTTTCTGCCTAAATTTGCCTGCCACAGTGTTGGATTTGTTTCTGAGCACAGTTAGAGATTAGGGTAGTTCTGCACCTACTAAATTACACTTCGTTGATTTTGTATCAGTTAAGTTATTAATTTGTCAGCAGAAACTTTGGGACTCAGTGCCCAGTAACTCAGATTTTAGATTCTTTATTAAGAAAGGATTGTCTGTTACTTGCAGTCAAACCTAAAAATTAGAGCCTGCAGTTGTGTGAAATTTGAGGGCATCGGTCAGGTTCAAGACCCAGCTTCCTCAAATATTTTTGTCAACTCTTCATTTCCAATTTTGCATTGGTCCATTTGTTTTCCTACTTCAAAGCTCAATCATTTCTCTCTCTAACTTACCTGAGCACTGCTCCTAAGTTGGTCTGTAGTTAGAGAGCTATGGGAAGAATTATTTTACCTTTTGTGCATCTAAATAGCAGCTTTCTAGTTGTGTTAGTAATATTGCTACTATGTATGGGTAGCGATACTGTTTCCCTTGGAATGTGGACATGTAAGCTTGTGCGTGTATAGACTTAACATGCATAATACAATGCACTGATTGGTCAGGGACATGGCTAAGTGCAAATCCTTGAAAAACCATGTACTGAAGAGGGAGAGAACCCTTTAATGTTTTTAGCCTCAAAAGCTGAATAGTTAGGGCACTTGTCTAGGAAGCCAAAAACATGGATTCTTGGCCCAGAAGGGGTTTGAATCTGCATGCCTGACTTCCCAGCACAGTATTTTAACCACCACACCACAAATTAGTCCCTTCTTCAGAACTCCTTTTGAAGCTGAGCCATTGCCCCTTATATTTAATTGTCATTGCAATTGTAAAATGGATAAACAGCAGTGCACTGGAGAGGTTTCTGCCCCATCAGGAGCAAGGGTCCAAATGAGATCCCAGGGGCCTCTCTCTTTCAAAGGGGCATGTTTTCACTGAGCTACATGCCCTCTAGTGTGTTCTCTTCCTCCTGCCCATGTATCTCACTGTTGTGGGCTACCAGGGGTGGGGAGTTTGGGTTTGTGTATTGCTAAACCTGTATTGTGGTGGCTAGAGCACTTTGCTGGGAAATCATAAAGATGCAGGTTCAAACCTCCTCTGTGAAAGGAGGGCATAGAACCCTGTTCTCTGGCTTTCCAGGTAATGTCCAAATAACTCAGCTGTTGGGACTAGAGCATGGGGAGGTTGTCCTCCTCCCTGTTACATTTAGTACTTGTGGGTTTCTGACTGGCTACCTTTTTGAGTTAGACACTGGTACACATCCAGAATGAGAGTGTATAGGTGCTTATGTGTAGACGCCCAGCATGTGTAGCCTGCCGCACATGCTCAGTTTATATGTACATGCTTGCACATCCACTCTGAAGTGGAAGTAGAATCACAACCTATGCATAAGTAGGGACCTACCTAACTTGAAGCAGCTGCCTTTGGATTTCACAGTCTTGCTGTGGCATTGGGCACCTTTTCTGGGGCAGAGTGCAGGGGTGGGGGATTGACATGCTTCTGGCTGAGGGACCCTGGAAGTCCTGTCCCTTCCCGGTGATTGACTGATGGCCATCATGAAAGTCGTGAAATTGCAAATATGGTAGGCTCCTATGCATAAGTGGTAAAAATGTCACTTATGCAGCTAGAAAACCACCATTTAGATGCACAAAGGGAAATGAAATTCCATCCTAAGAGTTGTTTCATACTTGACTATGATAATTGTAGTCTTGTGAAACTAAGAGCAAGCTCGTGTCTTGACTTCCTGCCTGCTGATGTACTACGTGTGAGGACAAGTCTGGACCATTCCTATAGTATTGGGGTGTCATTGATCCTGGAAAGCAATTACCATGTCACTTGAAGGTAGTTGAAAAGTCTATGTATATTCTTAATTACAAACCTGCTAATGCAATTTGATTTATTTGAAAAATGTCAGTTTGTTTTCATACTGGTAAAGTATTCTTATCGAAGTCGCAATAATTTGAAACTAGTGACTAGAGTTTTTTTGTATTTTAGTGTCCCTGAATATCCTTGCAGCATTCACACAGTTGATGTAATTTTTGAGAGACTAGTTCTTTTTGGTCTTGGACACTGTTTAAGCTTGGTATGAGTTGTGGTTGTCTCAAAGATAAGCAATTAATAATAAGTGAATTTTGATTTTCCCGTTTGGTCCATGGTGGTTGGTATCCATGTCTGTGTTAATACTATACTGCATTTATATGTATATAATATATTGCCTCTATGAAACCTGTTTTGGTGTTATGATTTTGGTTTCCATTTCTAGATCAGATTACATCTTCTAGACTACTGCACAGCAGTTGTGGTCGTGAGCTAACTGTTTACATGATGCCCAGCTCTATCATACAATATCACTGAAGTAGACCCATGATACAAGTCCTGTTCCCTTAGTGGTCATTTACTTTTCAAATCCTTTAAAACACAATTTATTCCATATACCTTTCCAAGTTGCCTTCGTCTAGGAGAATTGCCCTACCTGTTTTCAGCTGTATTTTACCATTCTTAAGGTTACTAAGGTGATCAACATGGAAACCTTCAGTCTGATCCATATTTGAAAAATCGTGCCTTCGAGTATAAAGTTTAAAGCAGGGATAGGCAACCGCCAGCATGTGTGCCAATTAGTGGCCCACAGAGACATTGTCCCTGGCAGCCCAGGAGGCATGCAAGGAAATTGTTTAAAAAAAAATGTTTTTTTAAGTTGTTGCTCTGGGCTCTCTGGAGCAGCCACAGGTCCCAGCGCTCTGGCAGGCACCAGAGGTGGAGTCAGGAGAACACAGGCGGGGACACTGTCTGTGTTCTGCTGACTCTGTCCCCAAGCTGGGCTGGGGGCACACAGCCCAGCCCAGCCCCTGGAGGGGAGCTGCAGGTGGACAGGGTCATGGTGTGGGTAGATGCTGTGGAGGGCTGCTCTGCTGGAGGCTCCCAGTGGGTGGTCCAGCTCAGGGCTTGGGCGGATGGATAGATGGATGGTGCCTCACCCCGCACAGCTCAGGAAGTAAGAGATTGGAGTGGTACTTGGGGATGGCAGGGGGCTTAATTTATGGCATACCTGCCAAGAAGGTTGGCCTCCACTGAGTTACAGGATACTGCTCTAGTGTCGGTATGATAAGGAAAGTCAAAAAACATGCCTAATTTAATTTGTTTCTTGCAGGTATCCAAACCATCGATTCTACACAGGCACTCTTCCTTCCAATTGGAGCATCTGTCTCTCTCCTAGTCATGTTCTTCTTCTTTGATTCAGTTCAAGTAGTCTTTACAATATGCACAGCAGGTAACTGCATTCTCTTCTCTTCATATAGCTCTGTCTTGAATAGAAAATGCTAATATTAATGAGTGTTACAACTAGGAATTAAAATATATTTCAGATTATCTGATGGACGTGTATAAAAACTGCACTTAATGATGTGACTAGCCTCAAAGGCTCTCTTTCCATTATTACTTAGGGAATAATAAATTTATTTAAAATAGCATATGGGGAAACAGTTTCATTTGGAAATCTGGTAAACTGATTGAACTAGGGCAAACTTAAGGAGATGTGGAAGGAATATTTGAAAATAAAATGTGCATGTGAATTATTAATTACTGTTTGTAATTGTATAACGTCTCAAAATACACACATTTTTACATACTTTTTCTTTCCCTATTTTGATTCTGATTTGCTTTCTTCAAATCTTTCAATATTTCAGGGAGCTCTTTTGGTCTATTCCCTATTATTTTGGCTGGTGGTTACCCTCAGTTACTTTGAACATTTGTAAAATTAACTCAGGTAAACATAGTAAATAAAATAAGAAACCAATATTGAGTAACCCAGTGATTTAATATTATGTGAGTGCTGCCCTTTCACATTTCCACCCATTCTGTCTGTTACTTCCTGTGGCATATTGAATAATATCTAACCTAGCCTATAATCTCCTCAGTGTAGGGATCTTATTCTTTTTATTCATTGCACTTGCAGCAAAACATTGACCTAACCCAAATTCTCTAAATTTTCCTTTGCCAATTTTATTTACTGGGTGGTTGCAGACTAATTTTTAAAATCAATGAATTGCAAGCCAGTGAGTTTGAAAAGCTGTGTTTACACACACAAACCAAGCATTTTGACTTTTTAGGGAAAACACTGCAGTTGAAGATAGCAGGATGCTTTCTACTATTCCAGTTTTGCAGAGCCTAGAAACTGTCCTCTTTCACAGTCCTGCTAATAATTCAAGTCCCCCTCATCCTACCCCTAAGTTTCTTGATGACTCATTACTATTCTGCTCCTTGAAATATACTGATGATGCAGAGAGGTGAATTTTAAATCCAGTCTTCAAAGGCTCCTTTCTTAAACTCCCATGACCCTAACACAGGGGTAGGCAACATTTTGTGGTCAGAGTGCTGAAAACCCCCACAATCCCTACCTTGGAAGGTGCCGGAGTGCTGGCATACTAGAAAAACAAAATGAGGGCAGGGGGTACATGGCAAGATGCTCTGCATGTGCCCCTTGCCCCCCAGCCCTGCTGCCCTGTGCCCCCCACCCAAAGCCCCTGCCCCCCAGCCTGGGCTCTGTGGCTGGCATCAGCTACCCAGAGCCAGGGCTGGCTGCAGCTGGGAGGCTCCAAACAGCTGTGCTGGGCTCCAGAGCCCTGGCATCAGCTCTGTACCGGCACGTACACCCGTGTATCAGAGTGGGCGGTCGGGGAGGGGCCTGAGGCAGCACAACCCCAGTCTCTCCCCCACTGCCGGCACAGAACTGGTGACTGGGCTCCAGAGCCTGACACAGCTGCTTGTAGGCAGCCTGGGCTCTGGGTAGCTGCAGCAAGCAGCAGGCAGGCTTCAAACAGCTGTACTGGTCTCTGTTGGGCTCCTCAATTCAAAAAGGATGTGGAGAAGCTTGAGAGAGTCCAGAAAAGAGCTACCCGCGTGATCAGAGGTCAGGAAAACAGACCTTACGATGACAGGCTGAGAGCCATGGGGCTCTTTAGCCTGGAAAAGTGCAGGCTCAGGGGTGATCTGATGGCCACCTACAAGTTTATTAGGGGTGTTCACCAGGATCTGGGGGAATGATTGTTCACCAGAGTGCCCCAAGGCATGACAAGGTTGAACGGTTATAAACTCCTGCAAGACCATTTCAGGCTGGACATAAGGAAGAATTTCTTCATTGTCTGAGCCCCCAAGGTCTGGAATAGCCTGCCACCGGAGGTGGTTCAAGCACCTGTATTGAAAGCCTTCAGGAGAAATTTGGATGCTTATCTTGTTGGGATCCTATGACCCCAGCTGACTTCCTGCCCCTTGGGCGGGGGGCTGAACTGATGATCTTCTGAGGTCCCTTCCAGCCCTAATGTCTATGAAATCTACAGCTCTGGCATCAGCTCCATGTTGGCAATGACTTCACGGGTACCTTCAAGTGGGTTGCACTGCCCTGCTGTTTGCCCTGAGGTGCACACAGTCGCCACCAGCATGGAGCTGATGCTGGAGCTGTGGAGCCCAGCACAGCTCTTTGCAGCCTGTCCGCTGCTTGCTGCAGCTGCCCAGAGCTCAGGCTGGCTCCAAACAGCTGCGCCGGGCTCCAGAGCCCTGCCAACACCTCTATGCCGAGAGCAGGACAGAGACTGGGGTGCGTTGCCTCAGGCCCCTCCCCCACCACCCCCTCTGACACATGGGTGCACGCACTGGTATGGAGCTGATGCTGGGGCTCCGGAGCCCGGCACAGCTCTTTGGAGCCAGCTGGCTGTGGCTCTGGGTAGCTGCTGCCAGCCACAGAACCCCAGGGCTGCTCGCAGCAGGCAGCTGGGATGCTGCAAGCCCTGCTGGGAGCAGCCTAGGTTTCAGCAGCTACCCAGAGCCGTGGCTGGCTGTGGCATGCTTAGCAAAATGGCCTTGTATGCCATGCTTGGCATGCGTGCCGGGGGTTGCCAACCCCTGCCCCATCAAGTGAGCTTATTTGGTATAAAATAGGCTAACTTTACATGTGGCTTAGGTCATATCCCTTTTCCTGAAGTTCTTGTTGCTTTATAGTATCCATATTTTTGGAGTACTCTACAGGTAAGTGAAATTTTGCCACTTTCCCCTTCTTCACTGAAGTTGTTTTATTATGTCTTAGTCTGTCCATCTTCAGAGTGTTTCTGATATTTTCAGAGTTTACTGTCATCTCCTGAAGTGTATAAAGATAGGTTTTCGTGAGACTGTATGGTGTGTGTTGGATGATGTCTGAGGTTTGTCCTCCTCCCCTGGCACTTGGACCAGGCAGGAATGCAATTTGGCAGCTGTAACTGTGACTGAGCAGCCCTCTTCCAGATCTGCTTTGCTCCCATATGGGGAGAGGGCTGGAAAAGGTTCCCTAAACATAGCCTGTCTAGTACGGTATTGTGTATTTGTTTCTGACTGGATAGCTGCATCCAGTGGGAATCACTTTTACTGTAGTTGAAAATACCAGTGAAGATGCACTATCCTTTTTTGGGACCTGGAACATCAAGACTTTCATGGACAATCGTAGCACTGAATGCCCAGAGTATCGCAGTGTAATCGTGGCCTGAGAACTCTGGTGGCACAACATCGATGTAGGTGCACTGAGCGAGACCCAGCGAGCAGGAGATGGGCAGCTCAAAGAACATGGAGGTGGCTGTACCTTCTTCTGGACGGGTAAACATGAAGGAGAAAGCTGACTTTGTGATGTTGGTTCTGCCATTAAGAATGAACTCATAAACCAACTGATTGAGTTCCCCATCAGAATTAATGAGCAACTTGTTACTCTCTGTCTTAAACTGGCAGAGCCAATATGCATATGCCCCAACTCTTGTTGCCACCAGTGAAACCAAGAAGGAATTTTACGCCAACCTTGACCATATCCTTTTTGACATTCTAGAAGGAGAAAGACTTATTCTTCTTGGTGATTTCAATGCCAGAGTTGAAAGGGACTCTAGCCTCTGGATTAGAACCAGCAGCAAGGAAGGAGCAGGAAAGGTCAATTCCAGTGGCAATCTCCTCTTGAACAAATGTGTGGAACATGGACTTGCTATCATCAGCACCCTGTTTCACCAGAAAAACAGGCACAAGACATCTTGGCAACACCCACGGCACTTGATTGACTCTGTCATTGTCCTTGCCCGGGATTGCATAGATGTCTGCAGCATCCCAGCTATACTAGGAGCTGACTGCTGGACTGATAACAGAGTCATCCGCTCAGTTATCTCACTCAAACTGTCTCCCAAATGATAGCTGCAGCAGAAGCAATGCCAACAGAAGATCAGTGTTGAAAAACTCAAGGACCCAATCAAGTGAGACTTCTTCCACCAGTGCATCAACGAAAAACTGGTGAATTCCAATCGACAACAATAGGAGGATGTCAGCAGCACACGGGGTGCCCTCAAGGCCACCGTCATCAGTGCCTGTGAAGAGACGCTTGGGTTCTCCACCAGGAAACATCAAGACCTGGTTTGATGAGAACTATCAGAAGATCCAAGAGTTGATTGATTACAAGCTCAAGACCTTTTGCACTTGGCAAAATGACACCAACTCCAAGGAAAAGAAATTGAATCTCCGACAAGCCAGGGCAGAGGTCCAAAGGAGGACCCACGATAAGAAGACAAGGCTAAAGAGATTCAACATCTTTCTGACATCCATGACATGCATGGTGTTTTCAGTGTCACCAAAGACATCTATGGTCCCACCACTCAGGGACCAACCCCCTTGAGACCTAAGGATGGGAGAGACCTGATCATGGAAAGGGGAGCCATCAATGCCCATTGGAAGGAGCATTTTGAAGACCTTTTCAATCAAGGCTGTGCTGTTAACAAGAACGTTCTCAACTCCATCCTACAACACCCAGTCAGATATCATCTTGGGAATCCTCCCAAACCTTGACAAGGTGAGGAAAACCATCAAGCAGATGAAGAACAACAAAGCATCAGGAGCAGATAGAATCCCTGCTTAAACCTTCAAACAGGGAGGAAAGGAGTTCACATCACAGCATAATGCCCTCATCTTAAGGATCTGGAATGATGAGGAAATCCCAGACCACCTCGCGGACACTGTGATTGTGTTAATCTTCAAGAAAGGAGAGAAGTCCAGCTGTGGATACTGCAAAGGGATCACCTTGCTGTCTACCACAGGAAAGATCATTGTGAGAACCCTCCTGAACTGTCTCTTCACTTACTGAAGAGCTCCTAGAATCTCAGTGTGGGTTTAGGTCATCAAGAGGCACACCTGACATCATCTTTACAGCTTGCCAGCTGCAGGAGCAATACCGGGAGCAATATAAGCCTCTCTACATGGCCTTCTTTGACCTCATAAAAGCTTTAGACTCTCTTAGCTGAGAAGTCTTCACAGACAAGATCAGCTCCCAAACTACTGAACCAGACAGCACAGTTTGGGGAGAAGGAGAGCAGCTCTCAGTGGTGAAATAACAGGTTAGGGACTATTTAGAAAAGCTGGACGTTTATATGTCCATGGAGCCAGATGCAGTGCATCTGAGGGTGCTGAGGGATTTGGTGGATGTGATTGCAGAGCCACTGGCCATTATCTTTGAGAACCTGTGGTGATTGGGGGTGGTCCCAGACAATTGGAAAGGGGTAAATATAGTAGGGGTGCACTGATAAAGGGTTTTTTTTTTTTTGTCTGATACTGATGCTTGATTGGCCAGTGATATTGGCCAATACCAATCTGATTGACGATGTACAGCCCGGCAGCTTAGAGAGCAGAGTCTGGCCAGTATGTCTGCGGGGGGAAGGGAAAGGGCATGGAGGGAAGCCTCCCATGGTGAGGGAGGGATTGGGGCTGGGGCAGGGGCAGGTGCTGCCCAGTCAGGGCGGGTTGGAGCACAGGATGGAGACGCAAGCAGTTTGTCTGGAGGGCATGGGGAGGGGGAAGGGCAGATAATGGCTGTTGTGTGTACCTCCATGGGAGGCATGAGGGGCATGTGCCTCCGCAGATCCGTGTGCAGGGTGAAGGTATGCTTCCAACAATGGGCTTGGGGCCAGGAGCTACCCAGGCCTCTTTCCAGTACAGGGGGCTGGGATGTGGCTGCACATGGGGTGGATGACAGCGGTGCTGGGACGGAGGTGCTACAGGGCGGGCTACAGCCACCCCAGAATTTGCCATAACCACCCCATAACCCCTTTCCCAGCACTGCCACCATCCACCCCACACCTGCCTACCCTGAATGCAGTCCCAGCCCAGTGCCCACAGCAGACAGCCCATCCTTGATCTGCGAACATATCCGGGGGACACATGCCCCTTATGCCTTCCCTGGGGGTGGGTACAATGGCAGGAGCTGCCACTCCCCTTTTTTGCCCCCCTGTGAACGAGCCACCCGCAGCTTCATCCTGCACCCTGCCCTGCTCCACCCTGGCTGGGCAGCCCCTGCCCCAGCTCCGCTCCCTCCCTCACCCTGGGGGCCTTGATCTTCCCTCCCCCATGCCCTTCCCCCCACATACTTACCAGCTGGACACTGCTTTCCAAGGTGCCTGGCTGCATTTCTGGCCATATACATGCTGCGGCTGCACGCAGCATTTATTGGTGACCTTATTGGCCACGTTGGCCAAAAAAAGCTGTTTGCCGATCATGTCAATTTTCCTTTTATCAGTACTGATACGATATGGACCGATTATATCGGTGCTCCTCTAAAATATAGTGCCCATCTTTAAGAAAGGGAAGAAGGAAGATCCAGGAAACTACAAACCAGTCATCCTCACCTGAGTCCCCAGAAAAATCATGAGTCCTCAAGGCAGAGTTGTCCCTAGGGGTGTGCAGGGCCTGGGGCATATCAGCCCATGTGGGACGGTGTGGGGGGAAGGCAGCTGGAGTGGGCAGTTGACAGCACACCGCAGCAGTTCCTTATGACACTGTCTGCAGGGCCTGGGGTGATCGCAGGTGACAGGTGATTTGATAACAGCCTTTTCTATCTGAAAGTGGTTCCAAGGAGGATGGAGTCGGACTGTTCTCAGTGTTGGCAGATGACAGAACAAGGAGCAATGGTCTCAAGTTGCAGCAGGGGAAGTTTAGGTTGGATATTAGGAAAAACTTTCTCACTAGGAGGGTGGTGAAGCACTGGAACGGGTTACCTAGAGAGCTGATGGAATATCCATCCTTGGAGGTTTTTAAGGCCTGGCTCAACAAAGCCCTGGCTGGAATGATCTAGTTGGGGATGGTCCTGCTTTGAGCAGGGGGTTGGACTAGATGACCTCCTGAGGTCCCTTCCAACCCTAGTTTTCTATGATTCTGAGTGTTGTGGAGAATCCTTCTGAAGTACAAATATCCATTGGAATTTGTCACCATTCTCTGCCTGCTCCATGATGGAATGTGTACAGTGGTTCTCAGTAATGGATCCAGCACAGATTTTTTTGAGGCTAACATGGGAGTTAAGCAAGGCTGCAGCCTTGCTCCAACACTCTTCTTAATAGTCCTTGCCACGATGCTACACCTGACCAGCAACAAGCTTCCAGCTGGAGTGGAGCTCAACTGCCAAATGGATGGTAAGCTGTTTAGCCTTAACTGACTCGGTCAAAATCAAGACCATCCCGACCTCAGTTATTGCGTTCCAGTACGCTGATGATGCTGTAGTATGTGCTCACTTGGAAGCAGGCCTTCAGGCAATCGTTGATATCTTTACTGAGGCTTACAAGAAAATGGGACTGACACTTCACATTCAGAAGACTAAGGTCCTCCACCAGCAAGCTCTTAATGAACAGTCCCTAGCTCCAGTAATCCAGATCCACGGTGAGACTTTGGAGAACGTTGAGTATATCCTGTACCTCAGAAGCCATCACTCACAGAAGGCTGACGTATCGAACATGACCTCAAATGTGCAGGTGGAGCCTTTGGACTGTTGAAGAAACAGGTATTCAAAGATCATGACATTAGATCCAAAACTAGGCTCATAGCTTATCAAGCAGTCGTGATTCCCACCTTGCTGTATGGAGCTGAGACATGACCAACATACAGGAGACACCTAAAATTGTTGGAGAAGTATTATCAATGCTGCCTGCGGAAGATCTTCCAAATCCAGTGGTAAGAGAGACATGCCAACATTAGCATCCTCCTGCAAGCAAACACCACAAGTAGTGAGGCGGTGGCTATCCAATATCAACTTCATTGGACTGGCCACATTATCTGGATGTCTCCAGACTCCCAAAGCAAGTTTTATTCTCCCAGCTCAGCTGAGGCATACACTCAAGAGAAAGCATTTTAGGGACATCCTCAAGGCCAACTTAAAATAAATGCAACATTTATGTCAACTCATGGGAGACTGTTGCCCAGGACCATCCCAAATGGAGGAAGTCTGCTGCAGGGATTTCAGTTCTTTGAAACTTTGTGACAACAACAGAAGATGGAAAAGTGGGAGCAGCTGAAACAGCGTGTCATGGATCAAATCAAGAATCCAGCACAACCCTACATGAAAACACACATCTGAGCTGCAGTAAAATCTGTCAATTGGGTAGGCCTCATCAGCCATCTGTGGTCACGCAGATAAGACAGTCATGGAAGACAGTCATCCTCGACTGTGAGGAATTGTTGAAGAAAAGTTTATCCGAGTTGGGCATTCATAGGTTTTTATAATCTATTTCCTTTCTTGTTGAAAACTTAAGGAAAATATTTGAATCATCTGTGTGGGTTGCTAAAATATTTGACCTGTTTTAAATTCCCAGTTTCTCCTAATTCATTTAAGCTGTACTTCAAAGGTTTCTTTCATTTTTATAATGGGTAAAGATTACAAGTGACATGTGGAAAAGAAGAAAAAAAAAGTAACTTCATCTATGTTCAGAAACGCACACCCAGATTGTCCTAAATGTTGCTAGAATAACTAAGACTTGCAGGAAGATGCTGATACTAAAATTAGAATGTACCTCTTGTGTAGTTGATTTGGTAACTTTTACTGCAAAATACTGACTCACAGCAGATGGGAAGATTTTGCTGATAATATAAAATATCCTCTTAAAGTATGTTTTGAGGACAAGGTTGAGTGAAGCAGTGTAGCTGAAAATAGTTTGCTGGCAAATCTAGGCCTGATTTAGAACAGTTTCTGTACACACCTGAGCTGCTTTACCTGTGTGAATAGTGTTATTGAACTTAAAGCAGCTATTCCTGTGTTCCAATAATTCATGTCGTAATGTGGTCTATGATGATAATGCTGTGGTTTTCTGAGGATTTCTTAACTGAATTGTGTTGTATACGGTATTTCCTTTTGATAGACTGCTGGAATACTTGGACACAGCATTTTGTCTTTTTTAAACATGGTCTCAAGTGACCCAAGAACAATTAAGAAAGATTGCAGTCTGTATTGTTTTGCTTTATGAGGGTCTCTTTAAAAGTATAATTGTCGCTTATAACTTACTGAAACATGGAATTTCTATACATTTTATTTAAAAAAAAAGTTTTACAGAGGAAATCTTACAGTTAATAGGTCTTAATCTGATTTTCTTTTTTCAGTATATGATATTGCATTTATTAATAAGATATTGACACAGCTTTCTCAGATTGGAAGGTTTGTTCACATACAGTAGAAAATGGATCTGAATGCACTAATATTACTTCTCTTTTTTCTTTAGTCCTTGCAACAATAGCCTTTGCTTTCCTTCTACTCCCAATGTGCCAGTATTTAACACGACCTTGTTCGCCTCAAAACAAGTAAGGACTTGAGAAGTCTTGGGGGGGTTTTGCATGCCACACTTTGTTTTAATGGAAATTATTTTAACAGAGCTTTCTGTTACTAGTACTAGCCTTAAGGTCTTTAGTGCTGGCGTTTGTATTCTCTGTGCCAAAATCATGTTCCCACTTTGAAGCTAGGAATTAGAGTGTCTGCCAATCACACCTTTACCAGCTTAGGAAATGTGATACTATTGCTTGGTATTTTCACCACACTTGCTTTTTAGAAGTTTGCCTTGTTTTGCCTGAAATTTCACTGTTTGGTAGTTGGAATTGGACTTTCATGTTTGGTTATTGGGGTTGTATTATGGTTAATAACTGGTATATTCATAGATTAGCTACCATGAAATAACCACCATTGTATAAATGATAGTTGATGTTTAATGAATTATTTTAAAATGAGTTCTTGGCCTCATGAACAGGAGTCCCCATTATAAAACTGTTGTCTAATTTAGAACCCATTAATAGTGACCTTGGTAACAGCCTCAAGAGAGAAGGGCAGAAGTTTACAAGAATATAGACATTCTGGTTTTTGTTTTTAGATTGTTTCTTTTGTTTGAATAGGAACTACTAAAATGTCTAGTTTAATATTGTATGTTGTTTCCAGGATTTCCTTTGGCTGCTGTGGACGTTTCACTGCTGCTGAGCTGCTCTCATTCTCCCTATCTGTCATGCTTGTCCTTATATGGGTCCTAACTGGCCATTGGCTCCTCATGGATGGTAAGTATATAATGTGGACCACTCCTAATTTGTGTGGTTACTGACCAAGCCAAACACCTGGTAAAATTGGCTAGCATTGATGCCTTGCAAAGTTAAAGGAATGAAGTGGTAGACTCCACTTAATAAATTTCTTTAAAATACTGTATTTTCTTGAATATGTGATGACACTGAATATAAGACTCTCCAATAATTAAATATGGAAAAGTTATACATTTGGTATAATTTTCCAGGTATAAAATCTTGACTATTGGAGTTTTGTCTTGAATTTCTCCCTTCCCACTGCTACAGGAGGGGAAATAAATCTTGTGGAGGGTCAGGGCTGGATCTGGCCTTCCCTTTGCCCTCTACCTCTCTCCCCACCCTCCCACAACTTTTGCCCTGCAGGCCCTTTCCCCTTTCTTACTGTCAGACTCTACTCTCCCTGAGCATGTGGAAGTGAGGAACAAATTTAAAACCCCTGACCTTGAAGTAAACACAGCTGTAGCAATTTGCATATAGCACCTATAGACTTGGGTCACCCAGAATTGATGCATTTTACCTTTTTTGAAACTGCTGCAAGTTTTAACACAGTTACTCCTTATGGCACAGTAAACTCAATTTTAAGCAGCACATTTATGCCTACTCAGAGTACAAACTGATATTAATCCAAATCAAAAGGCTCATGATTTACTATATAGTTTGTTGGGTTCACTGGGTTAGGCCCCAGCATTTCAAACCATGGTGACCCCACAGCTTAGTGTGTGTGTGTGTGTGCGCGCGCGCACACATGCTACAGATGACCTCCCCCACTGCCCTGCCAAGGATTTGTATGTTAATGAGCCCTCCTGATGATAGCTGGCTTCTCATGAGTCCTGGGATCCTCCAGAAACTTGTATGCAGATAAGGCATAGGGCAACCTGATCCAGCTTCACCTCATGGAGGGCAGGGCCACACTGATCATATGCAACAGGCTGAGAGAGGGGCCCACAGGTGGATTCTGGGTACACTGTTTGGCACCCCATTTGGTGATGCTTGCCAGACATTTAAGGCTGGTGAAGAAACAGAAATTATTGGAAATGGGAAAGAAAGGTGCAGCTCAGCTGTGGAAGTGAAGAAGTTGCAATGTATGCTGTGTAGTGGCTCATCATGACTTGAAAAAGAGTCAGTGGTGAGGGAGAGTGCCCTAAATGGGCACTACCATAGGTCCTATTCAGATGGATTGCACTAACCTACTTACCTGGCAAGGGACATACCATGAGGTGGCTTTTGTCCCAGATGGTTTTACTTACCTGGCAAGGGTCATGCCCTTCTTCTTGGCCTTGAATGTCTTGGTGTAGTTAGAGGATAAACGCCTGTGGCTTGCATTATAGGCAGGCTGACCCCTGCAAGAGTCTCTAAATGTTTACAAATGTGAGGATCTCAGCTACACAATTTATGGTGATGGGGGATTGCTCTGGGGCTTTCCCCTTGGCTTGCTCCTTCAGCCTTTTGGCTAGGGTCAAGTGAGACTAGGGAGCATCTGAATTCCAAGGCATCTAAGGTTGGGGCTTGCATGTAGGATGCTTGCATGGATTTGGGGAGTATCTGAAGCCCCAGGCTGAAGTCTGGGAGGTAGAATAATTGCCGGTGGTAGTGCCACACAGGTATGAACAACTGAGCTGTTTAAGTTGATATAATTCAGAATTGAATTGGTCTGAGACAACATTTAAAAAAAATAGTGTTAGGTTCCCATCAGCATCTCAGCCTTTTGGCAAAGATCAAGCGGTTTTGGCACCAAGGAGAGGGTTTCAGGGCTGGCTCTGGCCTTCCCAGTGCTGACCTGATATTATTGCAGTACCTCCAGGCCTGGTGCTAGTTCCCTATGGAAGGAGGTGGGGGAAGGGGGGAAAGGTTCCCATCACCATTTTTGGCATCAGCAGAGGGTGTTGGAGCTTACTCCAGCTTCTCCAAGTGCTGGCCTGGTATTGGAGTACCTCTAGGCCTGGTGCTTGTTCCCTTCTGGGGAAGCAACTATCTGCCTTTTTTTAAGGGGCACGCAAAAAAGAAAAAAAAAGTTTACATCAGCATGTTGACCAATACGGTTTATGCGTTTTAGTTATGCTCACTGTTGGCTATATTTAATCAACTTTATAGTTGGTTTCCATTATTGAGCACATGCTAGGCAATGTATTTAATGTGGTTTCCTTGTATGCCAATGTAAGACAAGGGGCTTCCCCCCCATGTTGATTTGGGTAGGAGGGACCTCATCTTGTATTTCATTTGAGTAAATATGGTATGTGGTAAGGTAGTGCATATAATCTGTACTGCAATTGCAGTTGTTCCACTAACTTGCTTAGTGGTGTGCTCTTCTACTTCAAAACAGGGCTCTTCTAAGTAACCCCTCTAACCAAGAATTCCTTTGTACTGTACTTGGGTTAGAGCAAGAAATATCTTTGTGGGAAGCAAAACAAGCAGCTTTACATCGTAGCAAGCTAGTTCTAGCTGTAATGGAAGTATTCTGTTGTGTATGAGGAAAAATAGATTTCTCTGTGCCTGTCCTGTGCCAGCAGGTGGTTTTTGTGCTGTGCTGGCTTACAGTATTAAAAATCTAGTGCCAGTGTTAACGGTTATGGAAGAATTCTGCTCAAATATGTAATTGAGAACTCCACACAGAATTCGTTCCTCCTTCCTTCTGTTTATTGGGTATATTGCATTTTCAGTGGCTCTGATTTGGAGAAAATTATACAGATTAAGTGACGATCCCAAATGATTTTGTGTGATAGTCATTTAACTGGTTACTATGTGAACATTTCCTGCTACTGAAGAAACCTAGGGTATGTGTATGTATGTAAATATATATTCATTAATGATTTGTTGGATGGGATTGAGTGCAGATGGGACCAAGTTGAGTGGAGTTGCAGATGCACTGGAGGGTAGGATTAGGATCCAGAATGACCTTGTAAACTGGAGAAATGTTCCAGAACAAAAAGTCAAATGAAATTAATTAAGCACAAGTGCGAAGTCCTGCATCTGGAACAGAACAATCACATGCTGAAATACAGCCTTGGGAATAACTGGCTAGGCCACAGGACTGAAGAAAAAGATTTGGGGGTTCTAGTGCACTGTAAACTGAATACAAATCAACAGTGAGCTCTTGTTGAAACCCCCCCCCCCAATAGTTTACTGGGTTCTATTAACAGGAGCATCACCTCCAAGTCAAAGGAAGTGGTTCTGCTCTGCTCTGCTCTGCTCAACACTGGAAAGGCCTCATCTAAACTAGTATGTCCAAGTGTGATGCCTCCAAACTGAACAAAGATATGGACAAATTTGAGTCTAGCAGAGAACAATGAAAATTGGTAGAGGCATGGAAACATGATGTATGAAGAAAGACTGTTTATTTAGTCTGAAGAAGAGAAGGGACATTTGATAATAGTCTTCTGATACTTGAAAGGTGAGGGTGGTGACATCTTGTTCTCTGTGACCACAGGGGATGGGGCAAGGAGCAGTGGTTTAAAATTGCAGCAAGGGAAATTGAGGTTAGATATTAGGAGAAACTTTTTTGCTATGCGATTGGTTTATGCATTGGAAAAGGCTACCCGGCTTGTGAAATCTCCATCCTTGAAAGTTTATTAAGAGCAGGTTAGACCAACATTTGTTTAGGATAGTTGAGCAGGGGTGGGGATTGGACTGATGAGCTCCTGAGGTCCCTCCTAGCCCAGTGTTTCTGTGACTGTGGTTTATGCAAACAGGTTACCACAGGGTAAGATGTGTGTACTGACAGCTTGCCTGCTGCTCTTCAGTAATTGCTCATGTGCAATTTTTTTACTCCATAATAAATACCAGGTAGCTTGTCACATACTTATATTAGATGACATGCTCTAAATTCAGACCAAAGCTGGTATCACAGTAATTTTAATCTTTAGCCATACCCATAGACTCTGTTTGAGCCTTTACTTGATAATATTTTCTAAAGCCAGTAGACCTGACTTAGTATTTTATGTAGGTTTAGAAAGATATTCTCAAACCTCTGGAGCATGGATCACATCTTAATAGATACATTGCTCCCTTGTATATAATTTAATGGAATGCTACCGTATGCATTTGTCATAGAATAACATGCTTGTGGCAACTGCAGCTGTGGAAGAGCTAGAAAAGTTATTTAATGTGTCTATAGTTATCTTTCAATGCAGCTTAGCAGCTGGAAACAAGGATGAAAGTTAACACTATGCAAGCAGATAGCTTTTGTGGGCTACAGAATCTTTCCTGTAGTCCACAACACAGTTTAAGAAAACCTTTCTCAAAAGGAAGATTTAATCTCTGTAAGTGTACATTGTGAAATGGCGTGGAGATGGGCTGTAACAAGTGTTTATCAGAAAGAGAGATATTTAATACCTCCTCAGACAAAAGATTAAAATCTCATTGCTGCTACTGTGATTACATTGCCTAAATCTCATCTAGTGGAGTGCTTTCTTGATCAGGAAGCCGTGGAATTGAGCTTGGCCTTATAACATCTTTCAAAGGCAGCTTTGTTTTGTAGCTGGTTTTTGCACTTCTGTTTGATTGCTTTTGAATTGATGTATGTAGAATATGGCACTACAGGTTAGGCTGCTTAATGAAACTGTCCTTCTTTAAGTGCAGAATTAGTTTTTTAAGATATGTAACTTTTGCCCTACAGCTGACAAGCATGCCGCCTCTTTGGTAAATTGAAATCCACCTAAACAAATTCTTAAGAGGCAAGATGTTTGAAATAATTGTGTGTTCAGTGAGATCTTTTTATATGATTGTGTATTTTATAATATGAGACCAAAGTTGAAATTCTCTACAGTCATCAAGAAAGTACCCTCAAGAACTGTGCAAGTGGAATAGTGGCAGATGATCTTAAGAAAAGGAAGGGGACAGATATATAAGAACCTATTATTTTTGTGCTGTAAGCTTGAAACTCTTGCTGTTTTGATGACCCAGTTCTCACTGTGTTGATTCCTTCTGCAGAAGACAGGCTAATGCAAGAGCAACTAGCTTTAGTTTATCTGAAACTAGCTTTA